TGCCATATACCCCGTTCGAAAACTATAAAAAAAATTAAGTATGAAGTAGTAATTAAAAACGGTATAAAATATAACTATTCTATATAATTTTGAACTGCCATGAATTATTACCTTCCATCATGTTTACAACCACAAAAATGAGAATTTAAAACCACTGCAAAGTGAAAATTTGGATGGTGCAAGTGAACTGCTGCCACAGTGGACGCCATTTTAAATCTCTCTTCTGACCAATTTTTCAACTGTCTCCTCTATGTGGAGCGATACAGAGAATGACGATGGCATGACATGCTGCTTTTCTTTTGTATATCAAGTGGAGACTTACCTTCTTTAATTGCGCCTTGTGCTGCAAGACAAAATGCGTGTTCACTGGAATCCACAATGTGATGCATTCCATCAATAAGACGGAATTTAAGTCCCGAAAGTTTATTACCGGAAAGCAATCCTTTCTCAGACATAAGCAAGAAACCACGTTTGACACCCGGTATGAAGGGTTTAGGAACGTTTGTACCCACAGTCTCGTCTGTAAATTCCAAAGTGGTATTTTTTTGAGGAGGCAAAGGTTCCAATATGCCGATAACTCGTGCAAACTCTCCGTGACCACCAGATTGCTTCTTGTGCAAATAGTCAAATTCGCAAGGATGCAGCAGAGATTCGCGAAACGCGACTCGCGGTTTACCAAGAACTACCGGACAATTGTATTCGCGTTCCATTCTCTGGGCGTAGATCTCCAAATGCAGTTCGCCCATTCCAGACACGATCGTCTCTTTATTGTCAGAGTCAAAGAAGAAATGGAAGGTAGGATCTTCTTTAGTAAATCTTGCGACAGCTTTAGAAAAATTGTCTCGATCCTTATTATTTACTGGATTGATCGCCATTGACACAACTGGATCTGGTACAAATATCGATTCCATGGATAAATTGAGCTTATTATCGGTCACAAACGTGTCACCACTGGCGCAATCAACACCAAACACCGCAAATATATCTCCAGCAAAAACTTCGTTCACATCCTCCATTGTGTTCGAATGTAAACGAACTAATCGTGGAATACGAACTTTTCTCGACGTCCTTGTATTAAAGATGTAATCCCCCTTTTTTAACGAACCTTGATAGCATCGCATGTAAGTTAATTGTCCATATCGTCCCGCTTCTAATTTAAAAGCCAAACTAACAAAAGGGCTACTATCATCCCTCGCAGGATTTAAAACTATCTTCTGAGTATCTTCGCCGTCCTTTTCACAGAGAGCAAAATTATTCACTTCGCCTGGATTAGGTAGATACCTCAGTACAGCATCTAATAAAGGTTGCACCCCTTTATTTTTCAACGCAGTCCCTAACAAAACAGGTGTAAAGGTACGCTTTAGACATGTTCGTCTAATCGCAGCATGTAAATCGAGCTCATTTACAGGCTTGTCTTCCATAAATAACTCCGCTAACTTATCGTCAACATTGGACAAATGTTCAATGAGTTCACTTCTGCGGTCGTCACTTTCAGCTCGCATATCTTTTGGAATCTCATCGTAACATACAGATTCGCCAAAGTTTCCGTTGAAATATATCGCCTTTTGACTGACCAAATCGACAATTCCCTTGTGCTCACCTTCTAATCCTATTGGTAGATGCAAGAAGGCGGCATTGTATTGAAGTTTCGATCTTAACTGTGAAATTACTCTGTTAGGATTGGAGCCTGCCCGATCGAGTTTGTTGATGAATGCTAAAAATGGCACGTTGTACCTTTTCATTTGCCTAGTGACAGTCAGCGTTTGGCTTTGAACACCACCCACAGCACACAATACCAGAATAGCACCATCCAATACGCGCAATGCTCTCTCAACCTCTACGGTAAAATCTACATGGCCAGGGGTATCAATAATGTTAATGTTATGATCATTCCATATCGTATACGTCGCGGCGGATTGTATAGTAATGCCTCTTTGTCTCTCCAATTCCATTGAGTCCATCACAGCACCCACATTATCTTTACCTTTTACTTCATGCATTTCATCAATTCTGCCTGTATAAAAAAGTATACGCTCGGTTAACGTAGTTTTACCGGAATCGATGTGTGCCGATATGCCGATATTTCTAATCTTCTCAATTGGTTTGTGTTCTGCATACTTTACATATGAGGCATATCTTTTTGAATATAACTAAAAGAAATACAATGGATATAACACTAATACGTAACTAATGCCTTTACTTACTTTATACGGCTTATTACTAAAATTCGATAAAAACCGAAGTCGAGGCGCGAGTGCGATCATATTTATTAACACAACAATTTGAGATTTTTAAAAAACTGGAAAATAAAATGTAAGGTTATGAAATGTTCACATGCGAATTTTGGCAGATTCCAACGTTGCCAAGTCGAACAAGACATTTCAGAATTAAAATTTTGGTAGCATTCAAAAGAAAGCGACGCAAGTAAATGGGTGAGTAAGTATGCTTGTGCGATAAATTCGCCCCAGTAAATTCCCCTCGGAATATTCGCTACCGGCGGAATATTCACTCCCGGAAGATCTTCTCCCTCAAAATTCGCTCCTGGATGGTTTGCCCTGGAATAATTTTCTGTCACTATTACCTGGATCGAGTTTCCTTTCCTCCTTCCTTCCGGTTTTTTGATTCGATTATCGTTATTTTCGATATTAGCATTGAATAACGAAATCACTCAACAGTATTAGCATTTAGTCAACGGTATTAGCCAATATTTCATGTGATTACCTTCCTGTGTTAATACAATTTAAATGCCTTAGGCAAGTTAATGGACCATGCAAATTAAACGATGTGTACATAACCCTAAATGCCCTGATTAAATTTGACGGGGCAATCAGTCGTTTTGAGCAATTATAGATATTACAAGGGCGTTTTCTCTTTGGTTATGAGATTAAGGAATCAATTTTAATGACACAGGCTACACATAGCGAATCTTATAGGTAAGAAATCTCCTTGGGCGAATCTTCCGGGACGAGTTTTCCGGTGCGAATATTCGGGAGACGAATTATTATGAGCGAATATTTTGTGGGAAAATTCTCCAGGAGCAGATCTTCCGAGGACGATTTTTTCGGGTTGACTATTCTGAAGCTGAATCTTATAAATAAACACTAAATAAATAAATAAATAAATAAATAAATAAATAAATAAATAAATAAATAAATAAATAAATAAATAAATAAATAAATAAATAAATAAATAAATAAATAAATAAATAAATAAATAAATAAAAGATAAGAACGATGAATGAACTCTATTGTGTTTGCTTTGTGATCAGCTGACCAGTAAATCCCCAAATGGAGACGAGTCCAGGACGTACCTTAAAAGATTTTTAGCTCTGGCTACGCTTTTGTCAATCAGTGACCAAGAGTCCAAGAAATCAGCACCTTTGCCCTAACTAAGCGAAACCCCGTAGCTTTGCTACCAAATACGGCTAGGCTATCCATTAAAAAGCACGTTCACGAAGAACTTTCTGTGCAACTTGCGCGCATCAGTCACAAAGAGAAGGAATTGTTAGACTCAATATCCAGGGTTCTCAAACAGGAATCGATTTCCGCTCGCAAGTCCCGACAAAAAGTGTCGTTTTTGTTATATCTGCTTCAAACGAGCTCAAGCAGAGAATGCAATGCTATACAGAAAGCTTTCCAGTTTGCCCTCATAAGTCTATCTCCTATCTCTTGTTTGCTCATGGTCATTAAATAAAAAATGTTCCAAAACCCACTCGTGGGTATTGCCGCGTAACACAAAATGTTTGCCTTTACTAGCAGCATCTGCGGTTAAAATTTCAAAGGAATATCTTCATAAATAAGAAAGTTACCATTTCGCAGTATGCCCATACATCACTGCGCATGCCCACACATAATTTTTACTATGTGCGAAATGTTTGTCTTTACTAGAAGCATCTGTGGTTAAAATTTCAAAGAAAGATCTCCATAAATAAGAATGTTAGCATGCCCACATAATTTTTACTATGTGCGAAATGTTTAACTTTACTATAGAAGCGTCTGTGGTTAAAATTTCAAAGAAATATCTCCATAAATAAGAAAGTTGCCATTGCGCAGTCTGCGCAAAATATGGAGTTAAATGAAACTGATCGAAATGGGCAAATATAGACCATAACAGCTATCAATTTGCGAAAACCCGAATTCTCTAGGTGGCCCAGGGGCCGATATCTCGATGGAACGGACGGACGGACAGACGGAAACACGAACACATAAGCTTTACCTCAACTTCGTTGTGTTACGCTAAAAATGGATGATTAATTTTTTATTTAATGCTCATGGTGGAGTAATGTCGATCTTAGAGGTCTCCCGAAACTGATACCGCACTCCTTGACTTACCCTACACTTACAGTTAGCAATTCTGAGGAAAAGGCTTGATACTTTGGCACATGCCTGGCGTCGCCGCCTCTCCGAGGATTTAGTCAACTAGCTATCGTGGAGATGCGTCCCTGGTAGGCACTAACAGGGATACATATCTCCACTCCTTTTGTATCCATCGCGCTGGGCCGCGACATATCTCAAACAATGTGGTGGATATTATGGATTAGGGAGGTTGTGGAAATTTTAGGGAAAAAGCTATACGAGCAAAACCATATTTCTTTCAAGTCGAAAAGAAGGACGTTTCGCGGTACTTTTGAATCTCCGTAGAAATATACTCGATATGAATGGCACGAATGAACTTCTATATACATCGTGTAATCGGTTCTTTGATTTGTTGAGACGTCTGAGATCGGTAAGGGAATTGAATAAAATACAGAATTTTGTGCGTTAGAAGAGAGAAGAACATATAAAATAGCAGAGTTCGCGCCCTTTTCATGTTTAATTTGACGAATTTGAATACTACATTTAGCGTTATTTTGTAAAGGCGGCAACATTTCATTTAAAATCTCAGCAGTACAGTGCCATCTTGAGTTCCAATTATAGAAGATGCGGTCACGTGATTGACAGCGACCAATCAGATCGCCCAAAATTGCCCGTGCTGAACATAGCCACCCTCCCAAGCCCGAAATTTTTAACGATTGTTAACAACTGCAAGAGCTGGATAGAGATCAACATCTGAAGTGGTAGTGGCGTAAGAAAATCTTACCACCGGCCCCGATAACATCATGGCTGAAGCGGAACAGGCGCCCGAACAAGACAAGGCGACCGCTCAAGGAAAGCAAATTATCGGTGAGAGCTTGTAACATCATTTTTGTGTATACTTTAATTTCGTGTCGGCGTTCGACCGCGTTGCTTCCTCCATCTTTAAATCGGCACATGGCTAATTTATTGGCTTTGTCGCCGATATAGTCTTTTATTGCCATTATTTAAATGCAAAAATGCTCCTTTTAAAAATTTTATGCGCTTGTCATAACTTACGTCAAATATGCAAAATAAGTGCAATAACAAGTACATTATCTTCAATTCATCTTTTCATTATTCTTAAAATAAATATTTCGTACTACGACCCACTCAAAGTGTCATTTACCTATAACTTGCTCAACTTAGATAATTACACCCATTAAGCTTGTGGTCTATAATTTTTGCCAATCTTTTGTGTTGATCGTCCTTGACTCTACCATCAATGAAATCAAACGATATAATCATGAATAAAATTTAAATTAATTAGTTTACCACGCGTGATTTTTTAAACTGTTTTTACGACCCATGTTTTTATTTTCTTAAAAATTATGTAAAAGTAATCAAGTTGGATAACTATCAGTGTGTGTAAGTTAACCTTGTGCACCAGTGATAACCTCCAAATTATTGTTAGCCCCTTTGATAGGTAGGATGTTTTCGCGTTTTATCCACTTGGATATTGTAATCTTAACAGCAACTATGATTTTATCGGGAACAATGTTTTAAGTAATGTTTTTTTACAGCAACCAAGGTCACCGGTACAGTGAAATGGTTTAACGTTAAAAGCGGCTATGGTTTTATAAACAGGTAAGGTCATTTTGTTTTGCATCTGATGGCACTAACGATATCTATTCTTGATTTTATGCTTACATATTTCTGTCATTTATAGTCACAATCCTGTATTATTCTCAGTAATTTACTGGTGGACTTATTTCTGACTGTTAGCATGCTGTCCTTAGTACATTAATAATGTATTTTATATATTAGTTTTTCATATTAAATACTATTATTTGCTACATTTTTTTAATTATTGTTTTCTTCATAGAAATGACACCAAAGAAGATGTGTTTGTCCATCAGGTATGTATCTATAAGTACTTTTTTATTTTTTATATTCTACAATCTAACATGCTGATTTATATCTTTTTTGGTTTCTTATTGTTACTCATTCTAGGTTTTTGTATGAATCAGTGTACATTAGACATAGATACTTTATATAGCCAGTGCTTTTTGCATAGCACCTTCACTGCTTCATATAACAATCAATATTGATAACACTAATCAGCATTCACCGCTTTTAATTAGGTCATGGTAACTTTGTGTATATTATTTACGATTAAAAAAGTATTAGTGATTTTTTAATAGGCCATGATTGTAATTAGGGGCTAATGTAAATAATTTTAAAATGTGACTACTCCTGCAATTTATGACTTAAACTGGATAGCAAATGTATAAATGTTCAAATTGTGCCTATTGCGTTTTTAATCCCTTTTCTAATACATTTGATGATGTATTGTGAAAGTAAGATGATACTTGCACTACATTTATTATTTTTGTGCCTTATTTAAAAGTGTTTCAGCTAAAATGTTTTAACTTCACATGATCAATGGACGACCCCCAAAGAGATCCAAAAAATGATTAAAATGATTCAATAAAAATAGCAAAAATTTCAAAAGATTGTGATTTTCTCTAAAGCCTTTTTTGAATTTTTTACTGTATAACGGAATCGGCGGCTTTTGGGCCATGCTTATATTTGCATTTTTTTTATTATTTTAACGAGTACTGAAAAAGCGGCTTGACATTAATTGTATATTATTAGGGAAGTCTAAGGAATTAAAGATTTATTGTGATTTTTAGGGTCTGTATTTCAACCTTGGTAATAATAATAATAATTTTTATTGACGGCCAAGCCAATTTATACATAAATTATTAACAATAACAATAGTATTTTAATTAGTTTAACAAGATACAGATATTAATAAATAATACAATAATAAATAGTAAGGTATGGTTAATAAGTGGTTTTTAACTTGTTTTTCATTACATATGTTTAGATCTGTCCACAACTTTTTTTTTAATTTTGTGTATACATTTCTATATCAAACCAAACGTACATAAATTTAAAAGTTTCTTTGTAAAATCAGCAATTTTTCAGTAGGATACCTGCCTAAACCCGTTTCTGTAAAAAAAAAACTTGGAAAACTGGTCGGTTTTATTTCGTTTACCTCACTTTCAGTTATCACTGTCTACGTTCACACCATTTACATAATATTAGGTACTTTTTTTAATTAAATGTAAAAGCTACATTTTTTAATTTTTCAACAAATATTTTGATGGGAAGAAATTATTTTATCAGTATAACAGGGACGACAGTGCTGCAAGTAAATGTCTTGTAACTTGACATTTTTGAGATTAAATGAAGGCATGCCAGGAAAGATTCAGTTGACAAAATATTAGAATGTAATTTGGTTAACTAGATTTCTTTATACAAGACTCTAGACTGAGCTATGTTTGTTTCGCTATCCCAACCTGTACTCCTCAAAAACTTTGTCATAGTTCGATAACGATTTTGGTTTTATTTTCAAATTATTATTTGTAGGAATAGTTCAAAGATTTCTGGGTCAATGTACTTTGAGAAGAAGCTATAAAAGTGGCTATAAATAGTTTTGTGATAAGTGACATTGCAGATAAAAAGATTCAATAGAACTGACATTACACTTTGTAACTCGATCAAATCCAAATTGTTTCCTTATTTCAGGCAATGGTCAATTGGGTATTATCAAGCATGGTTGAGATGATTTAGGTGATTTAACTGCCATATTGTTAATTAAATTCAAAATTCTTTACACAAGCTCAAAACTCAAAATGAAACAATAAATGACTCAGAGTGCACAATCCTAGGATTGGTTTGACGCAGTCCTCCCTTTCCTATTCTGCGCTAATCTTTTCATTTTTACATAACTACCCTTACAGAAAATAAACAACTCAATTCCTCAAAACCTTCCCCATGGTAATTAATTGTTGACGAACAGATATAATTGTGAAATGTTACGACATGTTTCGATTGTTAATCATCTTCAGGTAACAAACTAAAATATTTAAAGTTAAACCGTTGACTCGATAGCTATTGAAACCACTTATTGAAAGGTTGTTGAAAAATGGACGCTTCCCATTAGCAGCTCCTATGAGCACGTTTTTTCGGAGAATTTGTTATCAGAATTTCCTTAACACGCTAGATGTACAAGCTACAGGTAGGCTACTACTTTCTTATTTTTTTATGGACGCCATATTGGATTTCTATGGAATGAGATAAAGGACAGAAAAAGAAATTCATTTGAATGTATCACCATCAGAGCAATGTTCATTCAGCAAGATCTAGATACCCGTGGATGTTTTGTTGAGAAATGAATATAAAACATTTGATTTTCAATGTTTTTTTTAAATTTATGTAAAAGTAATGAAACTTTGCCTCCATTTAACTGACTACACTGTTGCGGAGATCCCAATGGTAGTGACGAATCTGAACAACATATAAATGCACAGCATTGGTATCTCTTAATTCCGTAAGTTTTTTAAAAATAACTAAATCTATGATGGATTATAGCACAATTTTTGGGAAAATAATCTAAAAAAAAGTAATATGGAGGTCATTTTAAGGTAAAACAAACGTTACCTATTGCTGCGCATGTGTTGTGATGCGTTGTACTAAATAAAAAATAGACGCCCAAGCAGTATAATCGTTTTACAAAAATCAAAGATTGTACTTACCGTATGTTTGATTTATCACAATTTTTTAAGTTTTTAAGCGATTTTTGTAATTTTAACGACGTAATTATTTTATATTAATATCGTTGATTGTTTATAGTCTGCAATCATCAAGAACAACCCCAAAAAAGCGGTTCGCTCAGTGGGCGATGGGGAGGTAGTCGAGTTCAGTGTAGTGGTAGGGGAGAAAGGCAATGAAGCAGCCAATGTAACTGGTCCCAATGGTGATCCAGTCAGAGGGTCACCGTATGCTGCTGATAGAAGACGTGGATTTCGTCAATGGTTTTATCCGCGTAGAGGGCGAGGCGCCGGCAGAGGAGGAGCTCGTCGTCCACCAAGAGACGGTATGTCTGTAATTCGTGCACGATGCGAATTTCTATCGTCACATTGTTTTAGAGTATGGCGGCCCTGAGGAGGAAGGAAAAGAATCATCTGAGGTAGTTGAAGGAGGAGGGCCGCCAAGACGCTATAGACCGCGACGTGGACGTGGCGGGTATAGCGGCGGCGGCGGCGGCTTTGGAGGAGGTGGTGGTTACGGCGGTGGCGGCGGATATTACCGCTCGTATCGTGGCCCGCCTCGCTCCGATGAGGAACAGGGTGGTGAAGGAGATGGCGGAGCTCGTGGTCGTAGACCCCCAAAACGATTCTTCCGCAGGTGAGTTCTCGCTCAGTCAAATTTTTGTGTGTGTGACTTGCATGTTTTTTTTATTTACAAGCATCATTTTTAGAAATTACAGAGGAGGCGGCCGTGGTGGAGGTAGAAGACCTCGTTCGTCGGAAGGAGATGGCCAAGGTGAACAAAGCGGGGATGACAGTAGCCGTGGTCCTCCAAGACAACAACGTTACCGCAGACGTGGTGGTCCACGACGTGCATGGGATTCTGTTTCAGAATCTGGAAAGGTATCTAGCTTGATGCTTAAAAATCATTAAATTTTGCAACTTTCATTTGCTTCAATTGTGATAGCAGTTATTTGGCAGGATTAAGTAACCAAGATATTTATGAAAATTAAAGTTTTACCAATCATAGTAACCATTACTTATTTCAAATATAGGCAGACATTTTTCATTTTATCGTACGTTAGGGCGCTTTTGTGATATTAAGTCCTCAAATCTGAGGATGGAAAACTCAAATTTGCTATGCTATGCTTGCTTTCTAGGTTTAGAAAATATTTTACACTGTTTGCACTTTTTTGCTTTTTTAAAATTGTTTTAATCTGCAAGATGGCAACGGTTTGATCTATAGTATTGGATTGAATTTAATTAAAACGTTTTTTAATTTCATACTAGGCTCAGTCCTGTAACTGTGATGTGGTATAACATTTTGGTGGGGTAAATAGTAATTCCATACCATACATTTCTAAATTTAAATTACATCTTGTATATTTTTACAGGTTTTGGATTCTATAGACTTATTTCACACCTGGTACATTGTTTTCGATAATTTATGTATGTATGATAATTTCAAAATAGTTAAAATCCTCATTAATGGATCGATTAGGCAAAATGTAGACTCAATGAAAAACAGTTTTGATTAATTCATGGCCAACCACATCAAAAAATGAAATTTAAGATTTGTGTGATGAACCTCGTATAAATTGCTGAAAACTGGTCTGTAGTATCCAACAATATGAAAATATACATGGTGTTCCATTAAAAACAAATAGGTTACTGTTTTAATTCATTATATTCATAATATCGCTCAACAAAATTTTATATTCATACCGCCAATTTTGCCAAAATTGTAAGGGTGAATCTAATTTGGTTAACACAGGATACAGGATATACTTCAAAGGCAGCAAAAGTGATACCATCGATTGTAAAGCTAGAAATAAACTACTATACCACAGAAAAAATTTACATCTCTTTGAAGGTATACTTGATTCATTTCCCTTATTTTCAACGCTAATTTCGCTGGTATTATTTATGTTAATTCATTTAAGAACGCAGTTGATACTAATTATACTGGATGTTGTGATAAAATGTCATTTCTAACTAATTATGTTCGAAAAATTGAGGAAGATTGTGGGAAGTGAACCTCAATAATTCTTATGATTTGGTTTGCATATTACACAAAATGACACTTTCCATTACATAGATAGCCATTTATCAGTTTTCATTTGCTTGGGAATATTGCAAAATGCGTAAGGTTTGCGAGAGGTAAAAAAAATGTTATTCACTATTATTGTTTCAGGCTGAAGATCTTTCTGATACTACTAAGCCTGATGTAAGTATGAAAACAATTTTGTGCTCTAGTTTGAATATCATCGTAACTGAACTAATTTGTCTGTTTACTAAACATTGAAGCATCTAGTTTTATTCATGTGATTGCACAGTAACCATTAACACTTACTTAAAAATATCACTAAATCATCTCTAATGTGTACACCTACAGTGAGTTTTTTTTTAATGCGAACATAGGATTTTCATGCAATGTAATTTCCCTATGTTCGATTTAAAAAAAAACACATCAATCTATGAGGTGTGCGCGGTTCACATTCCCAAATCGCCCAAGTTGTGTGACTATGAACAGCGACTCTATACTCTTTATGATGAAGAGCACTCGGTAAGATTTTTTTTAAGAAGCCATGTGAGGCCATAGCAACATTAGGAAACATTTTTCTTAAACTTACGATAACTTGACCTCACAGGCCATGAGGCCACGCACTGACACCACAACTCATTGTGAACCAACCTTCAATTATTTGTAGGTTGTGCACCTGGTATTCTACTAATTTGATCTATTCAATACATAAACGAAGAAAATAAGAAAATAAATAGCGAAAACAACTACAATAAATGTTCAAAGTGTCCTCTTTGACATTCTAAGCAATAACTTAACCGATTTCGTAATTAAATTGGACGGCGGTATTTTTAAAAATGTGACAGCCGTCAATTGTATCTACTACTCATTTGAACCACTCAATAGATTGATGTGTTTTTTTTAAAATCGAACATAGGGAAATTACATTGCATGCAAACTCCTATGTTCGCATTAAAAAAAAATTCACTGTATGATGTTCATGAATGAGCTTTAGCTGAAGGTGATGTTTGGCGCTATTTCTGTTACTGTTATTAGGTATACCAATGGCGAAACAGCAAAAATTTTAAGTTAGGTAATCGAATAGCCTAAAAATGTTTGAAACATTTTTTATTATATCTAAAGAAAATATCAATTTTAGGACAATTATCCGAATTTTGCGACTAAACATTATTGCAAGAATTACCCAGAACAGCAATATACAGTGTGGAATAAATAATTATCCATCGTGGGAACTATTTACGACCCATGTCCACATTGTATTCAAATAACTTTTTTTTCAAAAACTGCAGAAATTCTCATGAATGAAACATATAACCAAAATGATTTATTATAAACAATTATTTAGTGATTTATTAGGTGATTATCGGTGTTCCCAATTAGTGGTAGAACGATATTGATATCGGTATATCGGCAATTGTTGCCGATTATCGGTATCGTATCGTATCGGCAAGGTAATTGCGCCGATATATCGGCAAACAATTTTTTTAGCTGTTTTAACTCTTCAGTGCATAAATGAAATACTTTATTAAAGAAAATAAAATGTTTTATTCTAAAGTTAACAATTTTACTAAAAAAGTTAAAAAAAACAACAAAAAATATACCTAATATAGCAGGTTCTAAATACAGTATATACTTAAAATTTAACTTTTTGATATAGATGACGCAATGCCAAACGTTTCCTTGCAACTGCAACGGAATAATTATAAATCGGGACTTCCCCGGTTTTTGCTTGACCGTGTCTAAATAGTAACGCCATCTATTGTTTGCCGATACGATACGATATATCGGCCGATATATTGTATCGGCAAAAAAAAGTGATATCGTTCTATCACTATTCCCAATTGTGTTCTAAATCCAAATGCAATAATTATTTATTGAATTGCTTATTGTAGGAAAATACTAAATAGGCTGTTGATTTTTAGTTGTGATATGGTGATAGTAATGCAGTAGGGTTGCGGTAATCCGAGGTTTAAAAGAAAAAAAAACTTGAAAACTCAAAACCTTATCTTATTTTTATGTAACCGCCGTGCGCCTGCAATATTTTGCGCTAGCTACTCGCTGTAATCCGCCAGGGGATGACATATTGAAGGTCAATGACACACTAAGATTCTAACAGTGCGTTATTGTCTGCTTTTTAAAGTCGTAAATGTCTAGAGGCAATTTTTATGTACCACTATTATACACTACTACAAAGTGGTCGAATATCTTGTGTAATATTTCGAGCTTTTTAAAGAAACATTTTTGTGGATTGTTGTATTCGGAGAAGAGACAATAAACTAATTCCCACTGCAACTGTTGGTAAATCTTGATCTCACAGCATTTCATTTATTTTTGAACTTAAGGGAATTTATAAATTTCATGGGTCTTCATATAACATATATTTGTTTAATGCAAGTTATTGGCAGATTTAATGAAACTTCATTTGTTACAGGAAAACCAATCCGTGCAGAACACCACTACTGAAAGTCAAGCTTAGACTATCACCTGCAACTTTTTACACACAATAACTAATCTTTATTAATAACAAAACAACTTTTAGTGTGTGAGTCATTTAAGGAATAGCAAAAAAGACATTTCATAACAATACTTTATTTAAACTATTGTGTGATTTTTGTATATAGTGTTTAGTTGGATTTGGTACTGAGAGATAGCTTTAAAGGAGGATTTGTACTTTTGATACCTTTTATACATTTGTAAAAGTTCATTAATAATCCTCTTACAAAATTAACTTGAAGTACCAAACAAGTACAAAAACCAATCCCAGTGCTCGCTAAGGCGAAAATCGATTGTTATTTTATCACAGCGTATATAACCGATTGTTCTATTATTTTTTATTGTTTTTGAAATGTCTTAAGATCCATTCCTTGATGCTGCGATTTGTAGAATAAATTCAAAAACCAACAACTGCATAATTTCCGTCGATTCATCTTTGTTGGACCCAAAAAAAGAAACATCTTATCTTGTAAGTTTGGTTTAATTTGGGAATGGATCTTCAATCGTTTGTAAACTAAAAATTAAACAAAAAAAATAAGTAAAACTGGAAAATTGGGACAGATATTTTTATATGTGCTGCTGGTTCTTTGAAATAATTTTTTTTTAAATTTTGTTTGTATATGGTACTGAGTAATTGCGTTTGTAAAGTGCCGCAACTTTAATTTTGAAATTTTTTTTGTGATAATTTTTTACTTATTTATTTTTGTAATTCAGTATTGAAGCTTTAATAAATAATCTGTTCTGAACAGCTGTCTTTTGTATTTATTAATTTAATAAAAGCAATTGATATGAGTGATACACATAAAAGTTTTTTTTTTCTGTTGAAATGATGCCCGAAGCAGGTTAAAGAATTTTTTTCGTATCCGAAAGTTACTACTGAAAATATTGTTGGATTTTTCTTTGTGATTGAGTGCAATTCGTAGAAAGCAATAGAAATTTTTGCATGTTGCGACACATTGGATCATAGAGCATTGTACCATGTGACGCTAAAAATGTCTCCTTGTGCTTGCTGTTTTCTTTAGTTTTAGTTCACCTACAATTCGAAGAATATGTAATTATTGTAGCGTATGATTATTACTTTCCTCTAGTAGCGTAGGCAGTACAAATTTTTTCGCTGCATTTTGTGACAAAAGCATGAAACTCGGTACACGTGTTCATTAGGTCCAAATAAAACTTTTGGTCCGCAGCACCCATCGAAATTTTCTTGTGGGTTCAAAATTTGAACACTTGTTCAAAAGAGTGTTCAAGGTTTTAAACCTGTAAAAATTGACGAATTTTGGCATTCTAGGGGTCGTTTTTGAATGATTTAGGGTCGCTGGTGCCAATGGCGGCATTAAAAAAGTTGCATATCTGACCCTTAGGCTCCAAATTTGGAGTATTTTCAAAATAATGGTTAAATTTTGAATTTGATAGTTTTAACCCTGCGTGATGTTTCGGATGTCGATTCCAGCTAATTTGGACGTGCACTACTAGCTAGAAATATTATATTGATGTTAAAACAGTTTCTGGTGTGTAAATAGGCCGTTAATCGTTCAATAATTTATTCAAAATTTGGAAATTCCATACTTGAAGGATTTTGCCGTTCTTGGTGTCGTTTCCATATAATTTGTGGTTGCTGATGCTGATTTTGTATTCAGAAAACAGATGCGACTCATAGTTAGGCCCTTTTCAAACTATTTTACCTATTAAGAGGGAATGTTCGGTGCAGTCATACCCTTGTTGCCCCGGATTGCAACAACTATTGAATGACAAAGAAAGACGAAAGAAACGGGCATTTCATTAAGATTCGAAAGTGGACATGTTCTCTGACGGGATATGCCGCCTATGCTTCCATTATTGCCCTCCCGGCATCGTTTGTTGGGAAATCTGTACTTCCAGTCAGTCTTGAGCTCATTCCATGACAAGTAACATCACTCAGCGAGCAAGTTCCGTCTGACTCGTGCCCCTTGAAGCAAGAGTGTCGTCAGCTGATGGCCCAGAGATGGGCAAGTTGACATATAAAGGGTAAAAAATTATTAATTGTAGGTATAGTGCAGAGCTTTGATTATAAAATACCTATATTCAAAGGTGCAGAGCACAAACTTTTACTGTTGTACTGTCTTACCTCTACAACCACAATAATTGAAATAACGAATTATCGGTCAAGAAAAGCAGGACACTTTGGTTGCTTTGCATTTTGCTACTCTTTTAATCTCTAGACGGGGGCAGTTTCCCTTCCCTGCCCCCTCTGGCGACGACCTTTCTTTGAAGTGAGGATATCGCAACGATACCGTGAAACGCCATAGATCGCGACACAGTGCCTAGGTGTTCCCAGAAGTCGCCGAGGCAGCCCCCAAAGTGCATCCGATGGCGGGCGATACGATTAGGCTGCGAGTCACAGGCGTTTTAGGCCCTGTGCGTCGCTGTAGGAACTCTAAACGCATATTAAGAGACCGTTACCACCATGACCTGACCAGCCAGAAGCTGGTTCTGGCCGCCAGTCTTCCAGTGCCTCTTCAGGTACGTCAATAGCACTGGTAGAAGACTGAACTTTTAGTAAAAGTTGATCCAATTTAGCCCCTTGGAACTTCGATGCACAGGCTTTGTGCCACTTTGCTTTGTTATGAATGAAAGCAGCTTTAATCATCTTCCCTTCCTTGAGTTGTTTTACCAGATAACCGGCCTCTAGCTTGATTGCAGATGTGTTGCACACTGACTCCATGCGCAAACGCAAGCGCGCTAAAATTTGAATTTTCGTACAACTGTCAACTTTAAGGAGTAAATAATACACATAACCTGCATAGTACCTGCTTACCTATTGTTAGTAGGTATATGTTAATGCCATGTCATCAAGATGAATTTTGTTGTCATTCCTAAAATATGCCAAAGGCGATAGAAAGAAACTATATTTCGGTATGTACTGTACAGGGCCGTAGAGAAAAACTTGGGGCCCGAGGGGTTGTTAAGCACGGGCCCCTTTTTTGTGCTTAAACTTACCTATTCCACATTACTTTATTCTACTAATCAAGGACTCATAATATGAAATATTTTATTTTAGTGAAATTGGTAATGCTTTATGGATGTAAAAATTTTATTCCCAAAAAACCATGCAATGGGCCCCAGGCACTGCGTTGCGATCGATCGCGTTTCACGGTATCGTTGCAATATCCTCATTTCCAGGGGCACGAGTCGGACGGAACTAGCTCACTGCGAGATGTTACTTGTCGTGGAGTGAGCTCAAGACTGACTGGAAGTACAGATTTCCCAACAAACGATGACGGGAGGGCATTAATGGCAGCATAGGGGGCATATCCCGTCAGAGAACATGTCCACTTCCGAATCTTATGAAATGTCCGTCTCTTTCGTCTTTCTTTGTTATTCAATAGTTGTTGCAATCCGGGACAACAAAGGTATGACTGCACCGAACATTCTCTCTTATAGGTAAAATAGTATGAAAAGGGCCTAACTATGAGTCGCATCTGTTTTCTGAATACAAAATCAGCATCAGCAACCACAAATTATATGGAAACGACACCAAGAACGGCAAAATCCTTCATGTATGGAATTTCCAAATTTTGAATAAATTATTGAACGATTAACGGCCTATTTACACACCAGAAACTGTTTTAACATCAATATAATATTTCTAGCTAGTAGTGCACGTCCACATTAGCTGGAATCGACATCCGAAACATCACGCAGGGTTAAAACTATCAAATGCAAAATTTAACCATTATTTTGAAAATACTCCAAATTTGGGACCTAAGGGTCAGATTTACAACTTTTTTAATGCCGCCATAGCACCAGCGACCCTAAATCATTCAAAAACGACCCCTAGAATGCCGAAATTCATCAATTTTTACAGGTTTAAAATCTTGAACACCCTTTTGAACAAGTGTTCAAATTTTGAACCCACACGAAAATTTCGGTGGGTGCTGCGGGTCAAAAGTTTTATTTGGACCTAATAAACATGTGTACCGAGTTTCATGTTTTTGTCACAAAGTGCAGCGTTTACCTCGATATTCAGTTGTACCGCCTACGCTACCCCTTTTAAATTATAAATGAAAAAGGGGGTATGGCAAATTGTTTTGAAGATATATATATTCCTTGTTTTTTCTTAATTGGGTGCATCATGCAACATAGTTTTGTTAGTGATTACCCTAATTATAGTCCAGTCAAATTAGCTCTCAAAGTAGTATAAACTGGATGTTGTCATTTCACTGAACGAAACCAAACGTACCCTATGTAAAAAAATCCGCTGAATAGAAAAATCATAGTCCCCCCGGCCGGAAACTCCCGGAACATATTGTTATAAACAAAAAACGAAGAAAAAATGGGAAAATGTCGTGTTTTTTCACATTTGACTGCCAATGGCCCGTATGAATAAAAGTAAGCAATAATGCTTATACTTGCAAAATTCAAAGTAAATACTCGTAACTGCCCCTTCATACTGGTCTGTTTAGCATGGTTTAGCAGCGCTGCACTGCGTCCTGTCATTCTGCTTAGAAGCGCTGCTAAGTCGCTCAGTGCGAAGGAGCACTTACGAGTATTTACTTTGAATTTTGCAAGTATAAGCATTTGCTTACTTTTATTCATACGGGCCAATATCTCGGTAACTATTGCTTACTAAGTAAAATTCATCCGATCTTTTTCAAAATCCGTATTTAGTAACTTCTTTTGATAACAAAACAATATGACAAACCAGATCACCGTAGGTTTCATACTCATTGATTAATGAAATAAACAATTAGAAAAAGAGATGCTTTGTCTTTCAAACTGGGGGAGCACAAGAGTGTTCTCAATTTTTTTATAGGTACATATTATAACCCTAAAACAATCTTTTGCAATAATTGTCCCGATGATTCCTGCAAATCGACGGACTGTGCAATTTTTTTTTAACAATCCGAAGAATTTTCCTAGTTAACAAATGGAATAACTCCCGAAATTTAACAAAATAATACAACTCTATAATAGGCGAATGTAAAACTCTCGGAAAACCGTACATTAAAAAAAAATACGTCCAAATCCAATTAACAGTTCACGAGAAATCAGCTTTTCACTTTGAAGCCAGTTTTCGAAACAACCAACAATGATTTTGCAAATCGGGTCGCACCGATCGATTCTTTACAGCGTGAACTTTTTTCATGCTTCTATTTCACCAAAATGAATGATTTTTATTAATCCGAGTGCCAAGGGCCGATTATAGAGTTACTTTTCTTGTTAAATCTCGGAAGCTATTCGATTTGTTAGTTAACTAAAAAAATTCCATTGTCCATTGATTTGCAAAAATGATCGGGACAATTATTGGAAAAGATTGCCTTACGGTTCCACTATGTATAAAAAAATTGGGAACGCTCTTGTAGTCCCCCAGTTTGAAAGACAAAGCATCCCTTTTTCTACTTGTTTATTTAATTAATCAATGGGTATGAAACCTACGGTGATCTGGTTTGTCATATTGTTTTGTTATCAAAAGAAGTTACTAAATACGGATTTTCAAAAAGATCGGATGAATGTTACTTAGTAATAACAAAGTGTTAATTTTCGAGATTACTTTTTTACATTTTTCCATAAATAACAATAACAGTTGAAAATGAGCGTTCTCGACGAACTGTATCTTATATAAAATTTTATTCTAAACAAGTACATTTCTATTCATTTTTTCCCTCGGAGAAATAGTTAACGAGATATTCGAAGTCAAATGTGAAAAAACACGACATTTTCCCATTTTTTCTTCGTTTTTTGGTTATAACAATATGTTTCGGGCGTTTCCG